TTTATTTGAATTGCCATCAGAATTTATTCTCAAAAAAAAATGTTTAATGTTGTTGCATGTCATCATTATCGCCAAATTTGAGATGTTTTAGAAAAGTGCAATCAAACTTTTTTGTTGTTGTTGCTTTTCCTTTACCTGATATTGAAAAAAAATAAAGAGAATTCAAATTGACAGACTAAGATTTTTTTCCAAAATATATTTGTTAACATTTCGATATTTGTGGAAATTCCTCAAAATGAACACAGGGCATCCACTATATGCAGTTGGTGACGCATTCTTTTATGGGTGTCACAAAAATCAATATTGTGCTGAATCTCGAAGAATGCAAGCTGCCCCTTCATCTGCCCTCAATGATATCACCTTTGTGGCTGCAATGCTGATGCAGCAGGTAAATGGATTTTCAACAAAAATCAATAGTGTGCTGAATCTCGAAGAATGCAAGCTGCCCCTTCATCTGCCCTCAATGATATCACCTTTGTGGCTGCAATGCTGATGCAGCAGGTAAATGGATTTTCAACAAAAATCAATAGCGTGCTGAATCTCGAAGAATGCAAGCTGCCCCTTCATCTGCCCTCAATGATATCCCCTTTGTGGCTGCAATGCTGATGCAGCACGTGAATGGATTTTCAACAAAAATCAATAAAGGAATAAGAGACTGAATAGATTCAAAACGATCTGTGGAATCTAGCGTCAACGTTTTTTTAACACTAGAGTGATTTGTATGTGATCCTCTGTGACCAGCTCTGGGTGTTGCTGTCAATAAGTTTCTTTGTTGTGTATGTTTTTTGTTTTTTTAGTTTTGTTTTTTGTTGGTTGTTTTATTGTTGTTTTTTGTTGTTAATGTTGGTTTTTTTATTGCCAACCGACATGGTAATGTTCATACACTGTTTTCAATAGCAACGTAACTTATATACTGGATGGATTCTTGTTTCTTCAGGCACAATTGTTCCCATTTTGACATTGTTTAACACTATTATCAGAGCCGTACGTAAAACATTCATCAGTGTCTTATTACGTGAGTAGGCAATTTTTGCATATAATTGATTTAAAAAAGGGGGGGGGTCATGTTCAAAATAATTGAGAACCTGCACCCAAGACGTTTTAATGACCAGTTGAAAAGATGAGTGATTAAAAGGATAAGAGGGTTTTTTTAATTGTTTGTGTAATTGTATGTTGAAATCAATATGCGAAGGGGGCAACGGTTACGACTTCGTTTATACCAAGGGGATCCCTGGAAATAGAACAAAGATATTCAAACTTCAACTTCCAAATTAAAATTATTGGTATTTAGTTAAGTGTCCATAGTTATCACACGAGAGGTTCTTGAACTTAATTAATAGTCACTAGTTCTCACAAGAGATATTTTTTAATTTATTTAATTATCAAAAGTTCTCACACGAGATTCTTTAATTTAATTACTTGTCAATAGTTCTCGCACAAAAGGTTCTAGAATTTAATTAATTGTCAATAGTTCTCCCATGAACTTCAATAATTGCCAGTGGACGTTTGGCACACCACGGGGCACAATAACGGGACGGGACGCGTGAAACCGGACAGGGTCCTATGACGACGACGGATCACCGGGCACTGGACAGGACGTAGGAAATCGCCGCACACTGGGCAGTATATAGCACGGTGCTTAGGTAGCTCGCTGGTAGCTAGGCAGGGCGTTGGCAACTCGGGCAAATCATGGGGCACAGTAGCGGTGCGAAGGGCACCGGACAGGACAACTGGACGTCGACAGCTCAACGCCACTGGACAGGACATATGCAGCTTAATACAGAACAAGGAAGATGAATCTTCATTGAATAAACTTGCTTGAAATGTTTGAAAAACCCTCTAAATAATTACGATCCAAGGGCTGAAAGAGCATCTCTAAAGAGGACAATACCCCACACGTGTACGCTGGTAAAGCCTCTGTACATTCCCTTGTCCCCCCTCCCCCCCCCCCCAAAAAAAAAAAACAACAGAATTAGATAATAAGTCCACTGGCAATTGATATGAGGAGAGGCTTGACATGGATTTAAAGTCTGGGAGGTATTTTGGAAACATGTTCGACAGCACACCTGACCTTTCACGCACTGCTCATGTGTATGTGGTGAATAGATTTGTGATAATACACGGTTGGAAGTTTGAAGTTATATATATTTTGCAAGGATTTTTTACTGTTCAAGTTGGAGATGGAGGGGGGAGCTAATGACCTTCATCGGACATTCTTAAAAAACTGAAACTGGACTTCCGAGCTCAAGCTTACAAAAATTCTGAAAGAATTAATCTGGAATTTATGAATGTCTATAAAACAACTATAAAAAAAATAAGTTTTCTTTTTTTTTAAATTTAGACTTTCTTTAAAATACGAGTTTAAACGCTCTGAAAATAGAAAATAGTTAACTTTCTTTAAATGCATAACTCAAAGAAAGTAGGTGTAGGAGGGTATAGTGTAGCACTTTATGAAGATACTTATTAAATGTAGAAGCAAACTTTTTTTTTTTCAAAAATATGTTCTACTTTTTAGTGTCTTTTTTATGTTTTTTTTTTTTTTTTTTTTTTTTAATTTGTACATTTTAATTTTTAAATTTACGACTCAAGATTTTCTTTTTTTTTTTTTTTTTTT